CCCCCCCCCCCCCCCCCCCCCCCTCCCAAAAAAAAAATTCACCTTTCCCTTAGCATTTTGATTATGACATAAAAAAAATAGCGCAGTGCACGAATATTTCACATTCACGTTGGATTTGGAGAAGAATCGCACCCTAAGGGATATGACATAGACAATCTACCCTAATGATTGATTCTACAGTTCCAATCCGTGACTTATAGGTGACACGAAGACAGCTTAACTATATTGCTCCAAGGGTCCCCTTCCTTTTTAATTATTCAAAAAAAGAAAAAAACATAAGCAGCATAACTACTTCTGCATTTATCATTTTACCCCTCAATGGAAATGATACGAAGTCAAATTTCTAGATTCAATTCTCTTCCCACCATTTGCACAAATTATAGAGATTATAAAGAAAAAACAGTAAACAGAAAAAATGATTTTCCTGATTTAATGATGTTCTTTTTTATAGAATTATTTTTTTCTAATATTTATCTAAATCATCGCGTCAAAAGTATCGAGCACACATACATAAAGTCAAAGATATATGGAGTTCGAAGCAGGGGCGTATTAGGTTATGGGTTCTGCTGTCCATAAATTATGTATAATAATGTTATATTTTTTTAAAATTACTTAAATATATGTGTGTGCACTCATACTTAAAGACTTCTATCGTGCAATAATTATTGGGTGAACCTCTACGAGCAAAATTGGCGATTCAAATCCTATTTCTGACGGTCTTGTTTTCGGCACAGAGTATAAATAATATGTGAAAATCACAAAAATTTTAAAAAGAATATAATTTTGAACCTATAATTTCTAAACTCTAAAGTGTATTGGGTTCATGGTAAGAGAATATTAAGTTATTAACCACTTCAAATGTAAATTTTAGATCCACCTTTTCATAATAGTGCACCCATCCTCTTGAAATATTGAATTTGTCTCTAGTTCGAAGAGTAGGGCCATAGGGGGTTTTCTTCGCGGCTTGAGAAATAAAATACACAAGGTTCCACAAGTTTTGAATATGTCCTTTGGAGGATTCACACGAAAAAATAATTTCATGAATAGATAGAATCAACGGTTCCGGTATTTGATTATGAACCTTGCATGAGTAGTTGGCAAAGTAGATGGTACCAAATAAAATTAGTGAGAATGCATGCGACGAGCTGATTCAAACACCACCGTCATACAATATCAAATAGTAATAAGTTCCAATGACAAATAACAATAGAGACGTGCAAGTTGCAGCTTGGATAAGTAGGGCAAATGACAATGTCCATGCATTCAACACTAGCCGCAATTGGCGCAGAATTTATGTGTAAAAGACAATTTTCAAGAAAGCTACCAACAATAATATAAATAAGGAAATAAAATACAAGTAACAAATTTGTCTTCAATGAATTAGTGATAAAAAATTGGAATGGTAAGAAATATGTAAAAAAATACATATCCATCTTCATCAACTCTTCTAACATACTTTCTTACCAATGAAACTAAAATTATATTTTACAAGTGCAAATCTTGGTAGAGTTCTCACAACACCATAAAGGAGTATGATAATTGCCTCTCCAATTTTGGTAGTAAGAATTCCATATAGGAAAAGAAAAAATAGTAGTAATAATAATAATAATAATCAAAATTAGCCAATTAATCACTAAATAGATCAAGAATTGGAAGAGAGAAAAAATCTCTTCTTTTTTACTTCTTCTTCTTCTTTAATCTGAATTTGCTCTGAATAAGTCTGAATTGCCAATTATCTCTCTATGTACAGAAGCCTCTCTCATTTGGGGCCTCAAATGAATTCAACAATTTTTGGCTCTTTTGGTCATAGCTCAACTTTCATTTGTGAAATAGGAACATTACCTGCATTCAATAAGGAAAAACGTTACACCGTTTCTCTCTAAAAGATAACTACAAGTAACTGATCATAAACAGTGAGATTAGTAACATGAATATAAGGCAGGTTCTAGTAGTAAAACAGTCAAACCTCTCTATAACAGCCTCATTTGTTCCGATAGTTTTTGGCTGGTATAGTGAAGTGTTGTTATAACGAACATATGTTATAACATAACATAAAAATCTGTTCCGAAAAAAACTTGGCTTTTATAGTGAATGACTGTTATATAGAGATGTTGCTATAGAGAGGTATGATTGTATCGGTACAAAGAGACAAGTTTACTAACCAGGATAACTCTGGTTCTGATTTTGGCCAAAGCCCATTTGAACAACACTATTGAGATCATCCTCAAAGAATGTGGGGACCTGAAAAAACAATTAAACCACCTTTGTTAAGCAAACTACTAAAAAAAGTAAAAAATTTCATTTAGAATTTTACAAACTTTAATAAATTCCTATATCGCTCGAATCCTCCAAAAATGCCGCTGCAGCTGTATCGGATCCTCCAAATATTCCGATAAAAATGCAACAACATTTTTGAAAGAACCGAACAACATAGGTGAATTAAATAGAATTATTTATTACCTGAGGGGTAGATTCAACATAACCATCTAGAGAAGGCAATAGCATATTTGAATTTCTAGCCAAATTATTATTCAAGGAGTTTATTGGAAATGGAAACTCTGTTCCTTTATGAAAGTTTTGCCCTGGCTGAGATTGAAATCCATAAGGAAATGCTTGTGCTGAAGTTTCTGATGAATACATGTTTTGTGCCAATGATCCTCTAGATTGAAACATCTGAAAAATAAACACAAAATTACATAAATTAAAAATCTTTTTTATTTTAGCTTTATTGGTGAAGTGAAGGGGAGCCTTGGCGTAACCGGTAAAGTTACTGACATGTGACCAAGAGGTCACGGGTTCGAGCCATGAAAATAACCTCTTGCAGAAATGCAGGGTAAAACTGCGTACAATAGACCCTTATAGTCCGCCCTTTCTCCGAACCCCGTGCATCACGGGAGCTTAGTGCACCTGACTGCCCTTTTATTATTGGTGAAGTAGTACTAAGAATTTAATTGACTTACATCCTTGGAAAGAAGAGCTTCCATATTAAAGTCCATTCTTGGATTTACAGTAGCTAACTTCATTGAAAGGAACTGCAAATGACATTAAACAAGTAAATAAATTCACTAAATCTTGCTTTAACTTATATTATTGAAATTTGAATTTCATAATACTAACAGTAAAAATACTAATTTTTTTTTTTTACCTCAACTTGGCGTTGAAGTGATTGTACATAGTTAATAATCTCATCAAGCATCACAGCTTTTCCAGTCACCTATAGTAAAAATTTCAATTTTCCCTATTAGAGTTCTGAATATTTTTAGCAGAGCAAAAAAAAGAAAATTTTCAAAAAAAGAAAAAAAGTACTACCTTATTGCAGCCTGGTACAAGATCTTGTAAAAGCTTCATTCTTTCACTTATTTTCTCTCTTCTCACCTGTTAAATTGAAGGATATGTCAGAGAATATGATTGGGAAAAAATGGAAAAACATGAAATTTGAGTAATTGGATATATGTTGCTCGATTCCTCCGAAAATGCTGTCGCGACCTTACCGAATCCTCAAATAAGTATAATTTTTGAGGATCTGACATGCAAAAAGACATTATTTTTTGCTGTAGCACCTTACCGAATCCTCAAAAAAGCATAATTTTATAGGATCCGAAATGCAAAAAGACGGCATTTTTTGGAAGATCCGAGCAACATAAAAATTGGAATTTTTTCATACTCTTTCAGCTAAACTATGTGCATCTGTGGCCTGTCCTCTTCTAGCTCTCACATGAATATAATCCTTTGGTGGCTCTGGAACAGCTTTTTCTTCTTCTTTTTCAGCAGCTTTTTCCTCTTCTTTTGCTTTATCATTTCCATTATTTTCCTCAGACTTACTTCTTTTAGCATTTGATTCATTTTTCCCTAATGAAACCTGCATAAAGTACACAAAGTAAAAAAAACCAAATTGTTACTACAAAATTTACCAATTATGGTTAGTTAGAATTCCAAACGGCAACAACAATAACAATAATAAATCCAGTGTAATCCTACAAGTGGGGTTTGCCGATAGGCTAAACAAGGGTGTTCAAAATCTATTTTTAATCAATAACAAGTAATATTTTATCGTATATAATATAATCTTTTTGCGAAGGGTGTTCATTTAGCTTCGCTCCTGACACCACCTTTAAGAAAGTTGGATAGATTATTTTCGGTAGACTCTCGGCTTAGAAAAAATAAAAGAAAGGAGCAACAACAAGCAAACAAATCAAAAGGCCGAAGCGAAAATACAAGACTAACACTTACATTAGCATTCTTGGATTTTCCCTTGGAAATTGATTTCCTTTTTCTTGAATTGGTATCATTTTCACCAACTGGGATCTGCTCAGAAACTGAAGAATTTTCCCTTGAATCTCCCAATTCAGAGTTTTTTGGAACTAAATTCACATCTTTGAATTCTTGAATTTGAGATCCAGATGAGACTTTAATAGACTGATTGCTTGAAACTCTTGAAAGTTTCCCACTTTCCAAATTTGGCTGTGCTACAATTTGTCTATTGTGTTGCAACAATTCAGCTTCATTAAAACTCTTGAAAGTTTTATTAGCAAAACAAGAAAATCTTGCTGCTCTTTCTGCAAATCCAGGATCAGCACTAAATTGTGGCAATTGATTATGTGACAAATTTCCCCTCATAGAAAGATTTAATTTTGGTGGAGAATTTAATGGAGTACTATAACAAGAATTGTTAGTACTACTATTATTGATCATATTGGAATTTGGTGACAATTCTCTTGAATTACAAATACTACCTAATCTACCAATTAATTCCCTTAGTACAAAATTGTCACCACTACTATTATTTGTACTACTACCATTTGGAATATTGGCATTTGGAGATGATACCATAGAACTTAATGCAGACTCAAATGGATCAGAATTTTCCCAATTGGGATTAAAAAAACAATTTTGAATTTGCTCATTTTCTTGAATTTCAAGTCCATAGTTGCCCATTGTGGTGTTACTATCATTAATGAACAAATTTCCCTTCTCCATTGGAAAAACAAGAAAAGAAAAGGGTAGGAATTTTCTTGGGAAAATGGGGACTAGAGTGAATGTTTATGTTACTAAATATAGAAGAAACAAGACTAGAAAATGAAGTTAGAAACTAAGGGGAGAAAAGGTGATTGTGATAATGACTTTGCTCTTTGAATTCACTTAAAATGAGAAGGTTATGATCATTGAGTAAAGAGGTGAAAGGAAAAGAGAAATAGAGAGAATGGAAGAAGAAAATGAGGAAAGTGAGACAGAAAAAATAGGAGGAAAGTAAAGAGGAAGCAAGAGGAAAGATAAAGAAAATGGACATGTCTGTTTGACCTATTCCTAATAGCTGGTGGGGGTGGGGAGTGGGGGTGGGGTGGGGATGGGGGTTATGCGGGTACGGGGGTAAGTAGGGGGGTGGTTGCCGGGCCTTAAACGTCAAACTTAGTTTTTTTTTTTTTTTTTGGTTTCCCACCCGGTGTCCGGTACCCGCATTGGAGCCCGACTGTATCCGGATTCGTGCCGCATAGGATCATTCAGGGGGAAGCGCTCCCTACCAAGGATTTTTCCATACCCGGGGCTCAAACTCGAGACCTCTTATTAAGGGAAGAGCAGCCACATCCGCTGCACCATGTCAAACTAGCTAATGTTTCCTTTCTTGTGGAAATAAATGGAAAAATTATAGATAGATATGTGGAGTATTTTTATAACAGTAGTATTCGAGCTAATTTACGTGTATTTTAACTATTTTATGGGTTACTTGTTATCTTCTATCAAAAGTATCGAGTCGTTCTATCTGTCAAAATATAGATACATGAAAAGAAATGACCTAACGTGTTTTGTATCTTGTAGGATTAGATATTGATTTTTTATAATATTAAGATATTTCGGTTCGCTAAGTTTAAAAAGTGTAAAAAGCACAAATTTTGTATAGAGTTTGAATATGATTTCTCGGGATCTATATATTACAGACGGTATCTACTCATAGCCTTTTGCCGCTGAAAGTATCTTTTCTCGCATTAGATGCTAATTATAGATAGATTGTAAGTATTTCAAAAGAAAGAAAAAATTGAATTTTCTTGTTCTTTGCTATTTATTTCATTTTTTGTTCTCTTTAGAGGAAAGAGGGAGGAAAGCCTTTGTGTTTTTGGCATTTTTTCCATTTCAGTTCCTTCTCCTACTTCTTTTATTTTTATTAAAAGAAAATAACATATTTGCTTCTTTTTTGTCGTTGTTAGTGTGTATTTATGGATTTTTTTTTTTAATGAAAAAACTCCACTCTAATAGATGTCACATTAGTTGAGTGGATCTAAGTTTTCTTTATTAGTATTTACGTATTCGTACGAGTTATTTCCGCTATCATGACGATAATATTTACAAATTTTCTTGTTGAAACTTATAAATAAAAAGCTTTAGGCTCGAACCCTTAAAGTTTTCTATCAAAAACTATGGTTAAACTCAAACATTTAAAAGCACTTATCTTAATAAAGATATGTAATAGTTAAAATTTAATACAACGCTCACTTATACAACAATAATAAACTCAGTGTAACCCCATAAGTAAGTTCTAGGAAGGGTGGCGTGTATGGTGACCTTACTTTTCTCTTGTGAAGGTAAAGAGATTGTTTCCGATAGATCATCGGGTCAAGGACAGATAAAAAAGAAAACAGTAACAATAAACAGCGATAATCAGCAAGATAAGATAATATGAAAACCAAAGCAAAAGAGACTATAGTTATAAGGAAGATCTTGCTATAAGAGAATACGAGAATAATACTAGTATTATAAAAGTGAATAATACAACCTCACTTATACCCCATATTCCTTCTCTTAAGACCGTAATTCCTTCTCATTGTTTCTACTTAAAAATTTTATTTTCCGATTTGAGAAGTCACATTTTCTCCCTCATCTATTTTAGAATCCTTTTTTCAAAAAGAAAAAAAAACTGCGCCTACGTTTTGTTTATTTTATAATCAATTATTTCTCGTATAGTATCTTTTAGTTAATTTCAATTTGGATTGTACCACCAAGGCTTGTGGCTGGATTAGGGCTGCGCATTTGGATCGAATATCCGAGAATCTGAACAGATCCACTCTATTCGGATTTTCAGATTTCGGATCGGATTTGAGTTAGATTTTTTAAAAGTTCGGATATTCGGATTGGTATAATTTTAATCCAATCCGATCCGAAATCCGAATTATATGGACATGTATAAATATTAGACTTAAATTTTAGTGTTAAGTCTTCTCATTTCATTCGCCTCTCTTTAGACTCTTCTTTTCTTAGTTTATCTCGAAGTCTCTCTCTATCCTCTCTGCAGATTGCTCTGTCCGCTTCTCTTAAGTTTGTGTCTCTCATTCTCAGTTTCTCCTTTCTATCGGCAGACGCCGCCGCCTCTCCCTTATTAGACATTTGTTTGGAATTTCAGTTTATTTTATTTTGCTATGAAAATTTTATTTTGTATATTGCTATGAAAGACACTTGCCTTTCAATAATAGAATGGTAAATATCAATAGCCTTAAAAAGTGTAGTAGCCGATTAGATTGTTAGTAAGCGTACAATCCGATCCGAAAAACCGAGTATTTATCTGATCCAAACTTTAAAATTCGATCTGATCCAATTTATTTCGGATTGGATTTGGATTGTTTTTATAAAATCCAAAATCCGAATTTACAATCTGAAATGTACTAAATCTGATCTGATCCGACCGATGTACAGCCCTAAGCGGGATAGATTTGACGATTCATTCACTTTCAACTAAAGGTTTTAAAATTTGAACCGTGATAGAGAGTGCTTCCCCTTAATAGACCTTACGGGGCTCGAATTCCGACTAATTAGGGCCCAATACGTTTATAGATGAGAAATCAAAAAATAAAAAATTAATTCAAATTTGGCAGTGGATTGGTGTGTGGTTAACTTTGCTTATATTGGTTTCTGTTGCACTGGCACTCTTTTGTCATATGGTGGACACTTTCAATGATTAATGGTCAGTTAAAAAAAGTTTAAAGAAATCATTTATTTAACCCTCTTAATTTTTATTAAAGAAAGGTTAAAGGAGAGACTAAAAGAAACAATTAGAGAGAGAGAGAGAGAGAGTTGTGTTTAATTTAAATAATTAACTGTAACGTGGAGAAAGTCAGAGTTCAAATAAATAAAGCACCTTTTCCAATTATTTTTGTTGTTTTTTACTTCTCACTTTGTGGCTTTTATTTTCCTTAAAAATATTATACCATAAAAAGTCTTGGCTGGCCAATATTTTTTTGTGGAATGATGAGGAAAACAGATCTAAAGGGTTTCTCTGGGACCCACTAAAACTTTTTTTAAAAATAAAACAAAAAATTTTGAATAAAAGGGGGGAAAAAAGGCAATTTGATCTTTTTAAGATTCATAGCACTTGGTAGTAGGATTGGGATTACTTCTTCACAAAGTAATTACTACTATATAAAAAAGTATACTACTAAAATTAGGAGTATTTATAAATGAAGTATATGTACCATGTGCAGTAAATAGTGTACTGTATTGATGTTTCCAATTGATAAAAATTAAGTATACAACAACAATTACACCTTCACCTCAATATGAAAATAGTCCACTATACAAATAATTACTCTTCATATCGCTTTATTTAAACTCATTTTATTTTGATATTTACTAATATAAATTCTCTAACACTAGAAATTTTGTACGTCTTCTACAAATATTATGATCGAGTTTGGGTCATCGTATTTGCTCCGTTTTTCCCATATTAGTACTAGTGTATTCATTTTTGTATATGTAATTTTCATTATTATCTGTTGTTTCCCTTGCTATGTTATTTTGTTGTTGTTGATGTTCTTATCTTTATTATTTTTCGGCATGGCCTCTGCATTATTGTTCTTTTGTTCAAACATGTTGTGAATTTCTTTTCTTGAGTTGAGGATCTTTCGAATACAGCCTTTCTACATCCATAAGGTAGAAATAAGATTAATGTTATTTTGTTGTTATTATTGTTGTTGTTGTTGCTGCTTCTACTAATATTATGAGACCTCATTATGTAAATTATTAGTTTATTCTTTTTTTTTTGGTAATGATATTTATAGTTAACTCACCTATAACTATGATAAATAAGTATGGTTGGATGAAAATTCCTTTAAATCTAAAAGAAAACTGCAAAATTAAATATTCTAGGATAATATCATTTTGGTCCCTAAGTTACTACTCACCAGTAGATTCTAATTTTTATCCTTTTCATATATGACTAAGCATATTTAATCTTTAATTAGTTAAAATATGTGTTTTGGTCTCTTTACATATAACCATATTACATAAATTATTTTAGAATTATATTACCCTCAAATATGGTAGTTAAATGATTTAATGGGTAATACTTCATTGAAATTTTGAAGAGTTACAAGTTGAGGGGTCAAAAGTGCATAATGCAGTTAACCGAAAGTTGAAAATGTACATGATTACATGGACCAAGATCAAAATTTATCAATATATAAGGACTAAAAGTGCAAATTTCCCTTAACGATTCTCTTATTACCATAGTAATTACTCCATAAGCTTGAGAAGAAAAAAACTTTAATTATAAAGTTTAAAAATTAATAAATTGAAAATTTGTATACCATACTTTCTTCTTTGTTGCTGTACTCAATCTAATTATAGTGGCAGAGAGTTGTTGACCCAACTATTTTTCAATTGATAAAGTAAAAAAACAAAAAAACAAAAATTTGAGGAATCTTCCAAAGCTTCTCTAGAAATAAGTGATTACTATGTTTTATTATATTATTATTATTATTAGCAATAAGTGAAATTAGCAAGTAAAGTCAATAAGCAAAGGTTGATTTAAATGTAATTAGTTGTGTTTGGTTGAAATAAATTACTAAATTACTAAGGGGAAGAAGAGGACAACAGTGTAGAATAACAGAAAAGAAGACAAAAAACAGAGTTATTATGTCTGTTTTTTTGCTTCTTTTATGTAAATTATTGCTTTGTTATGTACAATCTTATAGTAGTAAATTTTTTAATCTTTATTTTCAACTTGTACAGAGAGTTGATTGAATATTTGATCAATCATGCCACATGCCTCGAATATTTTTTATTTCTTTTAACCTTCTTTTTATCTCGGAAAATGAGAAAGAAAAAGGAAAAATACTTTAATGTTTATCTAATTTATATATAATTTAACAATTTATTTATTCTAATCTGCGAAATAGTTCAGTTCATCCTAAAGTTAATTGGAAAATATGCTGTACTTTTATTTAAGTTTGTAAATGTAACACATATCAACATCTAAAAATAAACCAATTTTTAAC